TAAATAAAAATTTACTCATATTCTAAAATTATTATTTTTTATATTAACATGACTGTTGATTTATAGTTTATAGCATTGGTATCTTCATTTAATAATTGAATTATTATTTTATATACATATATATTGACCATAGAGTTTTTAAAAATTTATTAATTTTTATAAATATATTATTATAAAATACATGTTAATTTTTTTAATTTTGTTTATAAAATTTAAAAAATTTATATTAGATCACTTTTAATTTGTTAATTTGTTATTTTATGAAGATAGAGTTTTTAAAGTTTTATTAAATTTTATAAATATATTATTACAAAATACATGCCAATTTTTTAATTTTTTTAAATTTAAAAAAGTTATATTATATAATTTTTAATTCATTAGTTTCTCTATGTACTTAACTTTTTTTTTTAATTATTACCTAATGTAATGTTATAAACTTATTTATTGAGTTTAAAATTTTAATTGATGTATAGACAATTTTCATTTAAAATAATTACCATTAAATTTTTTTAACTCATACTTTACATTAAAATCTTCCTTTTATTTACTTTATAAAAGAAAATAAAAATAAAAATAATCAATATTCATAAAAAAATTTATAATTTAATTTAATTAATTCATATAATCGCAACAAATTTAAAATTTAAATATCAGTATTTACAATATTTTTATACTATAACTTTTTTATAAAAAATCTAACAAAATTAATTTAAATGTAAAAGACTCGCAGACTTAAAGTTTCATTTTTTGGCTTGATGTGGATGTTTAATAGAAAGTGAAATGGTTTTGTATTTTGCATAAATTGATTTAAATAATATATAATTGGATCTGGTATGAAATAACATGATAAACCCAATAAAAAATTTTTCAAAACAATTTGAATAAAATCTAAAATCGCTTTAAATTTATTTCAAAATGATTAAATAAAACTTAAAATAAAAAATTAAAATTGAAAGATTTTTTTTCATAAATCAAGTAAGTAAAATTGAAAAAACAATTTAAAAAATTTTGATATATTTTTGAGATAGAATTTTAACTATTAAATAAGTACCGATCAAAATTAAATTATAAATGATATTTTTTTATTTCTTTTTACATTCTTATTGATTTTTTTCAGCTCCATCAATTTATTAATTTAAATTTTTTATTAAATTACTTTTAGTAAAGTATTTTTCAAATTTCACTTCAAAAAGTTCATCTAAATTTGTCATTTTTAATGTGTTGGTGAAACTACTAATAAGTCAGTGTTAAAATTAATAATTTGATTAAAAAATTTCAATTGATTTATTTATATTTTAAAAATTGATATGGATTTTAAAATTATAATTTCGTTTTAATTATCAAATAACTTGATTTCAAGATATTAAATAAAATATTATAAGAATCAAAACTTCAAATCTTATATGAAATAAATTCAATTCTTACTTTTTCACTTCACATTATAACTCAATTTGGCTTACAAATTAAAGAATATATTTATCAAGTAATAAAAAATATAGTTTTTTTTATCTATTTTTCAAAATTTCTTATCAAACACACATTAAAAAAATAACATATTTACATATTTTTAATTTTTTTTGCTTTTCTCTCCTTAAATTTTTAATCAATTGATTAAATCAGCATAATTTTTTGTACTAAAAAATCTATGATGAAGAGAGGTTTTTCATTCAAAATCAAAACAGATCACATAGATGTCAAATATAACTTATATTAAATTTGCATTGAATAGCGTTAAGATTAAATACCTAGAACTTAGCTAGCACAATACTCAATAAATCTGAAATGCTAAGGATGCACTTTGTTTTGGCTTTCCATTAGCAGCAACTACTTATGTATCTTTTTGCATTTGTTGAAATTGATGATAATTTTATATAAAATCAATTATAAATCATATTATTGTTATAATTTATAAAATTCTAACTAATGTTATTAAAAAATTAAAAGTCATACAATTCATATTATACAATTCATATAATTTATAAAATTCTAACTAATGTTATTAATGCTATTGTTGGTTTTATTGATTCCATACGACAGAATAATTTATTTTATTATAAAAAAACTCTTTATTTAAGATCAATTAATTTTAAATCAGATGTCTTCTAATTTTTTTTATTTTATGTTTTTTTTTATTTTAGATGTTCAATTTGGTTTATGCAACATAATTTTTTAATTCATTAATTTAAATTTTTAATATAAATTTTTATTTAATATATTAATAAAAAAATTCACAATTTTACTTACAAAAATTTAATCTAAAACCTCATTTAAAATGAAGAGAAGTACTAGCAGTAGTCGAAATAACAATGGCATTTCCACACTTCAAACTTTGTGAAGCCACGTCATTTAACTTTTGTAAATCAAAACCAGTTTCTTCTTTAGATGGTTTTAACTTCAGTAATGACATTTTTCAAAGGCTTTCTTTTGCTGTGGAGTATAACTTGATTGGATTTGTTTTAAATGTTTATTACATAAAGAAATAAATATATTCCTATCGTTTTTTTAATTAATTATAAATAATTGAATATTATCTCATTGTATGAATTAATTATAAACTAATTGAATATTATCTTACTATATGAATTAATTACCTCATGTATGAATTAATTAAATTAAATTTTAAAAATTATCTCACATTTGACTAAAAAATTATATATATTGAAATTTGAATTATAAACTAACTAGATTATATCTTGTGCGATACATGAAATAATTTTACTTATTTAATATAAATATATATTAAATATATTGAAAAAAGTTATAAACAAAAAAATATATATTGCAATTGTGATAGAATATGTCTTGAAAAAAAAAGACTGAAAAAATAAAAAAATAATATATAACACATTACACATGTAGTCTTAAATTTACAGAAGAATTCTTTAGTGACAATTAAGATTAAATAAATAATTTTTTAAAATTTAAAATTGATATAATAAGCGATAAAGATAATATTAAATTTTTTGCATTTATTTGAAATATAAAATTGATAGTTAGAGTTCAAATGTATATAACCATTTTGATGATCTTATTATTTAAAAATTTAAGATGAAAATATTTTGAATTTTCAAAATCTTATATAAAGTTGCTTGAATTTTTAATCTCTTATGTAAATTTTTTAACAAGATAATTTTTAATCTTTGTAATTTTTAATTATGTTTGAAAGATTTTGATAATTAAATAATTTTTTAAATAAGGTTATTTGATAAACAACTAAAATTATTTATTAAAAAATATAATTCATATTTTATATTTTTAATTTTAAAAAATATATCTCTAAATTGATTTGATTTTTAATTAAAATTTGAATAATTTTGATATTTGATTAAATTTAAAATTATCTAATTTGTAATTAAAAAAATTATCTTATTCTTTTAAAAAATTATCTTGTATGTTATTTAAGAGAATTATTTACATAGACGCTCATGTGATAAACTAGTTTATGTCTATTGTTATATAATATATATATATATATATATTAGATTGAATATTATCTCACTGTATGAATTAATTAAATTAAAATTAAAACTTAATTATTATTAAATTCTATTTTAAAGTTAAAATTACTTCCCACTATTTTAAGTATGGGTAAATCTTAGTCAGATTTTCCGTTCTTGATTGGTGCAGTGCATTAAGTTGATATTTGAAAAGGTCTAAAATAATGATTTGTCTTTTTCATCTCACAATCAAAGATATTAGACAACTTGTAATAAAAGGCATCCTATTGTATGTTGCATAACTTGAATGACGCGGCGTCGCAACGTCTAAGTCGTATTTTGTTAATTGAATTTGTTTTAAGTTGAAGTCTTAATTTAATTTTATCATTTTATTTTTCTAATCACTAGTTAAACATAATTTACCTACCAATAATTTAAATATTTAATAAATATATTTATTTAGTATAGTTTTATTATCAATAAAATATTAAAAATACTTATAATTTCATTGCACTATAAAAAATTAACATAAACACACTCAAAAGCTATGAGTCCACTTAAAACAATTATGGACCAACATGACAGGACTGAATTTATGTGTCGTGCCATGTTAGCTTATGCGTTATATTCTGGCAATGGCCCTTAATGGACTATACCATTGTGATTCATAGATTCGAAATCTTTTAGTCCAGCTGCGTAGTCCAATCTAATTATTTAAAAACAAATTGTGCCAAACATAAATAATTTCATATCGAATTATGTTGTACAATGAATTGTCTAACTCATTCGACATCTTTAATTATATTATAATGTTGATGACTTTTACGAATCCTTCAGCCTGTAATTTATTTTGTAGGATGAACATGTTAGAAATTGGAGGTCAAAAGAATTGGATAAAATTATATTGGGTAAAAGATCAGTTTGAACCAAATTACACGAACAAAAATTTATACAATTTAAAATTATTATCTTATATACTAATTTCATTGTTGATTTATAGTTTATGCAGCTATCGTGTCTTCATTTAACAATTTAATTATTATTTAATACAAATTGATGATAAAAGTTTTAAATTTTACAAATTATATTAAATGATTTATATGCATATATTTGTATAATAATTAATCAATTCATTAATTTTTTAAGATATATTTTTAAAAAGCACATGTCAGTTTTTTAATTTTATTTATAAAATTAAAAAATTTTATATAAAATATTTAATTCATTAATTTATTTACATAATTTTTTATTTAGGATCTGATGATATTTAGTAATCTTATAAACTCATTTATAGAACTTAAAATTTTGATTGATATATAGGATATAATTTTCATTTAAAATAATTATCATGATTTTTTTAACATTTGATTAATAATAAGTGCAAACTAAAACTAGAATCATCCTTTAAACTTAAAAGACCAATAATCATCATCTAACAAAATTAATTTAAACGTAGTCTTGAAGTTAGATTTTTCCACTTGAAGTTGATGTTTCATAGTGACCAAAATGTTCTTCTATTCTGCATAAATACCTGACCATGCTAGCCCATGTAATTTAGAACAATTAACAAAAGATCCTTTCTGAACTATCCAAATAATGTCATCTTTTCTACTACCATTCAAAGTCATGCTCTTCCTCGTACTTGTCTTGCTTCACTCTTCCTCTCTTATTGCTTCTTCATCCTCCATTGCTGCACTTACAAGAGGTAAAGAAGCGGAAACTCTTCTAAAATGGAAAGCTAGCCTTAATAAGAACACCCAAACTTTGCTCTCTTCTTTGTGGGTTGGAGATAGCCATTGCAGCTGGGTTGGAATTACCTGTGACAAGGCTGAAAGCATCACCAATCTAAGCCTTCCAGATTATGGGTTGAGAGGTACACTTCATAGTCTTAACTTTCTTTTCTTCCCTAACCTGACGAGGCTTAACCTTCGTAACAACTCACTGTATGGGCCCATTCCCTCACACATTGGCAACCTTCCCAAGCTCACCTTCCTTGAATTGTCATACAATAACCTTTCGGGGAATATTCCATCCGAAATTTGCTTATTGAAAGGTCTTGAGTTGATTTCCTTAGCAAGTAATGAGATCAGTGGTTCCATTCCATCAGAGATAGGGAGGCTGAGTTCAGTTTCCGAGATCTATTTCTTTGATAACTATCTATGCGGTTCAATCCCTGCTTCCCTAGGAAACTTGACCAGTATATCCACTCTCCACCTTCATCGAAATATGTTTTCTGGGTCGATACCTCAAGAGATAGGGATGCTTAAATCTCTCGCCGACTTTGCGTTGAGTTATAATAATTTCTCTGGTTCAATCCCTGCTTTCATAGGAAACTTGACCGGCCTATCCACTCTCTACCTTGGTCAAAATATGTTTTCTGGGTCGATACCTCAAGAGATAGGGATGCTTAAATCTCTCACTGACTTTGAGTTGAGTTCTCTGGTTCAATCCCTGCTTTCATAGGAAACTTGACCAGCCTATCCACTCTCTACCTTGGTCAAAATATGTTTTCTGGGTCGATACCTCAAGAGATAGGGATGCTTAAATCTCTCACTGACTTTGAGTTGAGTTATAATAATTTCTCTGGTTCAATCCCTGCTTTCATAGGAAACTTGACCAGTCTATCCACTCTCTACCTTCATCGAAATATGTTTTCTGGGTCGATACCTCAAGAGATAGGGATGCTTAAATCTCTCACTGACTTGGAGTTGAGTTATAATAATTTCTCTAGTTCAATCCCTGCTTCCATAGGAAACTTGACCAGCCTATCCACTCTCTACCTTCATCAAAACATGTTTTCTGGATCGATACCTCAAGAGATAGGGATGCTTAAATCTCTCACTGACTTGGAGTTGAGTCAAAATAATTTCTCTGGTTCAATCCCTGCTTCCATAGGAAGCATGTCGAAGCTTATGACGATATATCTTCACTATAATCATTTATCAGGGCCAATTCCTTCAACGCTCGGCAATCTTACTCATTTGCAATCATTAGAATTAGGAGATAACCATCTCAGTGGTCCATTACCCAAAAATTTATGCAGGGGTGGACAACTCGCAAATCTTACGGCTTTGAACAACAATTTGACGGGTCTTATCCCACCAACTTTGAAAACTTGCAAAAGCTTGTACAGAGTTAGGCTTGAAGGAAACCAGTTGACAGGAAATATATCAGAAGCTTTTGGCATATATCCTAATTTGAATTATATTGCATTAAGCAACAACAAATTTTATGGTGAACTATCGCCAAACTGGGGGCAATGCCATAATCTAACAAGCCTACGAATCTCCGATAATAACATTTCTGGAAAGATACCACCTGAGCTGAAGCATGCAACTCAATTGCACGAACTCGATGTCTCTTCAAATCATCTCTTTGGTGAGATTCCCAAGGAATTGGGAGCATTGACATTGATGTACAAACTTTTTCTAAGCGGTAACCAACTTTCAGGCAAAATTCCACCAGAGATTGGAGTTCTTTCAAATCTACAATATCTTAACTTGGCATCAAACAATTTGAGTGGACCGATTCCTAATCAACTTGGAGAGTGCTCAAAGTTATTGGACCTGAATTTGAGCAAGAATAAACTTGGAGAAAGCATTCCACTTTCAGTAAGCTACATAAATGGCCTTCAAAATCTAGATTTAAGTCGGAATTTACTTACTGGGGAGATACCACAAGACCTTGCAAAATTGCATTCCTTGGAAATATTGGACCTTTCTCACAATATGCTCAATGGTTCCATCCCAAATTCTTTTAATGATTTGAAAAGCTTGACTGTTGTGAATATATCTTACAATCAATTAGAAGGCCCTATTCCTAACAGTAAGGCATTTCATGAGGCTTCGTTTGATGCCTTAAGAAACAATAAGGGACTATGTGGTAATGCCACTGGACTAATGCCTTGTGCTGTCCCTGCTACTAGCAACGGTCATAGAAAAAGCACCAAAGTCATCATTTTCATTGTGCTTCCACTCTTTGGTCTTCTTCTTTTGCTCTTTATCATGGCTGGAAGTTTCATTATTCTTTGCCAAAAGAACCAAACCAGAAAATCTGAGTCAATCGAGGCACATGGAGATTTTTTCACATTGTGGGGATACAATGGAAGAATACTCTATGAGAACATTATTGAAGCCACTGAAGATTTCAGCTCCAACAATTGGATTGGTTCAGGAGGCTATGGAGCTGTTTATAAAGCTGCGCTACCCATTGGTGAGGTGGTTGCTGTGAAGAAACTTCACCAATCTGAAGATAGCATGATTTCCAAGTGTTGGGGAACACCACAGCTCTGATACCATTTGTTGGGCTAAAAGCCTCTAATCCAATCACATCAGCGGAAGCGAAATCAAACAATAAATCAAACACACAAGAGACAACAATTTAACGTGGTTCGGTCCAATTGACCTACATCCACGGATGAGAAACAAGATCCACTCGTTGTAGAGAATTACAAACATACATCATATCATCAACCCCACTCAACAATCAATACTCATAAGACACTCTCAATCTCCTCTAGTCCTATAGAGTATTCTCAACCCAAACAAACACAAACCCAAACCCTTGTGCACTTTTCAACATAACCAAACACATACCCATATGCTCTCATACACCATACCTATGTGGACCCTCTCAGTCTCCTCTAGTCCACTCACAAACAAACATACACACCCATAAGACGTAGAACCTCGATACTCTTATGGGGTGTCTATCTCACAAAACCCTACAACTCTCTTACATCTTTTTCTCATACCTAACCCTGTAGAGACTTCACCTATTTATAACCATACAAACTTGCCCATTAAGAATCCCTCTCCTCTTAGAATTCTTCTCCTGTAAGTCAAACTTACCTATTAAGAATCCCTTTTCTTTTAGAATTCTTCTCTTGCAAGTTAAACTTACCTATTAAGAATCCTCTTTCTCTTAGAATTCTTCTTTTGCAAGTCTTCTTGTCCATCAAGCAATATCTGACAAATCTCAAACAAATCTCTAACAAATCTCTTATGGGATTTGAGTCAATATTCCCAACAATCTCCACCTTGACTCAAATTCCATCAATCATCTGTCTTCATGCTAGACATGCTTGGCTTCACCTGCAATGGAAGTCTCACAATCATCTTCTCTTCTCTTGTGTCTTCACGCTTCATACAAACCAATCATCAATCTTCAAAACTCAAACTCGAACTCTTCTCTTGAATCGAGCTCTTCTGAACTTGCTTCTTTCCATGTCTCAAACCATGGCTCTTCCCATATCTCGAACTGTCAACTCTTCCCACGTTTCGAACCTTCAGCTCTGATACCACTTGTTGGGGAACACCACAGCTCTGATACCATTTGTTGGGCTAAAAGCCTCTAATCCAATCACATCAGCGGAAGCGAAATCAAACAATAAATCAAACACACAAGAGACAACAATTTAACGTGGTTCGGTCCAACTGACCTACATCCACGGATGAGAAACAAGATCCACTAGTTGTAGAGAATTACAAACATACATCATATCATCAACCCCACTCAACAATCAATACTTATAAGACACTCTCAATCTCTTCTAGTCCTATAGAGTATTCTCAACCCAAACAAACACAAACCCAAACCCTTGTGCACTTTTCAACATAACCAAACACATACCCATATGCTCTCATACACCATACCTATGTGGACCCTCTCAGTCTCCTCTAGTCCACTCACAAACAAACATACACACCCATAAGACGTAGAACCTCGATACTCTTATGGGGTGTCTATCTCACAAAACCCTACAACTCTCTTACATCTTTTTCTCATACCTAACCCTGTAGAGACTTCACCTATTTATAACCATACAAACTTGCCCATTAAGAATCCCTCTCCTCTTAGAATTCTTCTCCTGTAAGTCAAACTTACCTATTAAGAATCCCTTTTCTTTTAGAATTCTTCTCTTGCAAGTTAAACTTACCTATTAAGAATCCTCTTTCTCTTAGAATTCTTCTTTTGCAAGTTTTCTTGTCCATCAAGCAATATCTGACAAATCTCAAACAAATCTCTAACAAATCTCTTATGGGATTTGAGTCAATATTCCCAACAATCTCCACCTTGACTCAAATTCCATCAATCATCTGTCTTCATGCTAGACATGCTTGGCTTCACCTGCAATGGAAGTCTCACAATCATCTTCTCTTCTCTTGTGTCTTCACGCTTCATACAAACCAATCATCAATCTTCAAAACTCGAATTCGAACTCTTCTCTCGAATCGAGCTCTTCTGAACTTGCTTCTTTCCATGTCTCAAACCATGGCTCTTCCCATATCTCGAACTGTCAACTCTTCCCACGTTTCGAACCTTCAGCTCTGATACCACTTGTTGGGGAACACCACAGCTCTGATACCATTTGTTGGGCTAAAAGCCTCTAATCCAATCACATCAGCGGAAGCGAAATCAAACAATAAATCAAACACACAAGAGACAACAATTTAACGTGGTTCGGTCCAACTGACCTACATCCACGGATGAGAAACAAGATCCACTAGTTGTAGAGAATTACAAACATACATCATATCATCAACCCCACTCAACAATCAATACTCATAAGACACTCTCAATCTCCTCTAGTCCTATAGAGTATTCTCAACCCAAACAAACACAAACCCAAACCCTTGTGCACTTTTCAACATAACCAAACACATACCCATATGCTCTCATACACCATACCTATGTGGACCTTCTCAGTCTCCTCTAGTCCACTCACAAATAAACATACACACCCATAAGACGTAGAACCTCGATACTCTTATGGGGTGTCTATCTCACAAAACCCTACAACTCTCTTACATATTTTTCTCATACCTAACCCTGTAGAGACTTCACCTATTTATAACCATACAAACTTGCCCATTAAGAATCCCTCTCCTCTTAGAATTCTTCTCCTGTAAGTCAAACTTACCTATTAAGAATCCCTTTTCTTTTAGAATTCTTCTCTTGCAAGTCAAACTTACCTATTAAGAATCCTCTTTCTCTTAGAATTCTTCTTTTGCAAGTCTTCTTGTCCATCAAGCAATATCTGACAAATCTCAAACAAATCTCTAACAAATCTCTTATGGGATTTGAGTCAATATTCCCAACACCAAGAACTTGAAAGCCTTTGAAAGCGAGATTCATGCTTTATCAGAAATAAGGCATCGTAACATTGTGACGCTGTATGGCTTTTGTTCACATCCAAAGAACTCATTTTTGGTTTATGAGTTTGTAGAAAGGGGAAGTTTGAGAATGGTGCTAAGCAACAAGGACGAGGCAATGGAGTTGGATTGGGAGAAGAGGCTTAATGTTGTAAAAGGAGTGGCCAATGCCTTGTCTTACATACATCATGACCATTCACCACCTATAATTCATCGAGACATTTCCAGCAACAATGTTCTTCTGGATTTGGACTATGAGGCTCATGTCTCAGATTTTGGCACAGCCAGGCTTTTAAAGCCCGACTCTTCTAATTGGACGTCACTTGCTGGCACTTTCGGGTACATAGCTCCAGGTATTTATTAATATCTCTTTTTTTAATATGCTTTAAACATCTCATCATTCAATTAAAAGTGTTAGTTTTGTGTGCAAATTGATTAGTTAAAACAAAGTTAAGTAGTATTAAGATTGTAACTTTTCAAATTTAAGTATCAAAGAATTTTACTCTAATTCAAGTATAAAATGTGTAATTAATCTTTAAACTTTAACACTGAATTTTTCAATATTCAATATATTAAACTGATGAACTAAATGTAAAATCTTTTTTAAACTCTGAATTTCAATTTTCATGCAATCTTATTTTATATTCTTCTCAATATTCTTACATGTATTTGATTAGATATATTTATTGCTTAATAAAGTACATTGATTAGTTATATTTTTTTAAGTAGAGTTGGCTTATACAATGAAAGTAGACGAGAGATGTGATGTTTATAGTTTTGGGGTGCTAACAATGGAAATACTTATGGGAAGACATCCTGGTGATTTGATTTCATGTTTGTCATCATCATCGACATCAACATCAACATCAACATCAACATCAACATCGATATTGACACCAAATGACAATCAACTGATTTTACTTAAAGATGTGATAGACCAACGTCTCTAACCACCGGTAAGGCAAGTTGCAAAGGATGTTGTCTTTACTACAAAGCTAGCATTTGCATGCTTGAATGGCAATCCCCAACTTCGGCCAACCATGCGACAAGTTGCTCAAGCCCTTATCCGTCAATCACTTCCATTGCCCAATCCTTTCTCAATCATAAAATTAGGAGAATTGTGGGATCATGAAGTCTACAATGGCTAATATTAAGGTGCTAACAATTTGAATAACAATTCTAAGCACGTGTATTTACTTCAATCTGTTGTTTTTCTCTTTTTTGTATTGAAAATGTTTAAGTACTATTGTAATAAAACTTTTGTAGTAAATTGGCTGTGGTATAGAATAGTTGTGTTTAAGTACTCAATTTGTATGTTCAAGATTTCCTATTTCAGTATCAATTGTAATATTTAATTGTAGCATTGATTTGCTACAGTACTTTCACTTTGGAATGCTACAGCAATTTTAGTATCACTTATTTGTTTGAATAAATAAAGAATATAATTGGTGAGTACACCAAATTACAATAAACACAACCTCACACAATAGCCTTTTGATTTGATTATTTACTCACCATTAATTCTTATACACACTCGTACACATTATTTCTCACAATCTCATCTTTCTAACCTTTCTTCATTCCCAACCTTTTAAATCATTCAAAATTTAATTGTAATTATACTGAGTACATTTAAAATGGATTTCAATGATGATTTTAAAGTATATACCTTCAATTTGTACCTTTTTTTTACTAAAATACTAAAAAAAAATTGTACTTTTCTTAAATTTCTCAAATAAACTTTTATCTTTTTTTTATCCAATTAAAAGCATAAAACATTATCTTTATTTAATTAAGTCTTATTTTACATGAAAACCACTAAAATTAGTTATTCTTACCATGCCAAAAGTAATAATTGTCTTTGTTTAATCAATGTTCGCATTGTAAAATATACAAATTTAAGTTGAATTATCGTTTACATAATATGTAATGAATGGCTCGTATAATGGGCCACATTAACATCCAAAGAGCTTTTTTGTTTTCAAATATATGCTACTAAATGTTAGCATCATAGAAAAGAACTAAGACATATACGTTGATTTGGCACGAAATAATAATTTTTTTTAATAAAAGAGCATAATAGAACAAAATTGTAATTTAAAGATTTAATTAGACAAAAAATAAATTTTTAAGTACTTAGTTGGATATAATAGAAGGATGGAGGCTTATATGAAAAATTCAAGGGCTAACCACCATAAAATATTTTTTATTTTTAATATTTAATTAAAGCTGGGGTTTGACTGTAATTAAATTTAATCTAAGTTTTCAATAAAATAATATAGCCAATAAAATACAAAGCATAATTATTAAACAAGTACAAATCATTTTTCCCCACTAAAATTATAGTTGAATTTAGTCCTACATGTTTTCAAATTAAATATTAATGAATTTTCATAACTTTTCTCCTTTTTTTTTATAATATGGTGAAGAGTACTCTTGTTTTTATTTATTTGGAGAAACGATAGGCTTTGAACAAAATTAATTACAAAAAAAAAGGCTAATTTCTCTGATAATTTTTTTTACAATTTTGTAATTATTCAATTAAAAAAAATTATATAAGAGTCCAACACTTAAAAGTGTGGGTTCTACATAAATTTTTTTTATGAATTTTACACAACATATTTTAGAATTACTATAGTAATTTTTAATTTTACAAATTATTTTTATAATTGTTATATCCATTTAATAATTGGAATATTATTTTATACAAAAACACAAGTAGTGGGTTTTTTAAAAACTCATTATATCTATTTAATAATTAATCAATTTGTTTTTTTTTTTTATATAAATATACTCTAATAAGACAAGTGTTAATTTTTTAAAAAACTTTGTTAATCAAAATAACTCATAACTCAGGTATTCTGTCAACCTCTAAGTGCTATTCTAATTTCAAAACCCAACCCTTGAAATCATGACCATTAAACAGCTTATAATGAATTAGAAAACAAGTACCTGGATTGATCTGAATGTGAAGAACTATCCAGCATCATTCCACTCGAGGAAGGTTTATCTGTATCGCAATCAGAAACAGGCTATATTCCCCGCTTCCTTTGTGTTTTGCTAACGGAGACAAAGTCTCCCTCTTGCTTGTTAGACATTGTGCTACTGACAACTTTTTCAAATGTTCTAGTAGCTTATTCTGCATCACTCCAAACCTAGGTTCCATCTTGACATCTATCTTCCCAAATTTCCTCTCCATCTTTTCATCGATCTGCTGGATTTCATCTAAAACTTAGAGATTTCTTGTTCATTTGTTGGATTTCCTTTTGCATCCTAGTAGAGACTCCATCCGCCATGATTGCCAGGTCGATGCTTTAATACCAAAATGACACAGCTTAAATTTCCAAAATAACGAGAACAGATTGATCGCAGAAGAAAAAAAAGATGAGAAAGAAGGAGAAAGAGAAAAGAAGAAAGAATTCCAAAGAGACAATAACTGTTTGATATTTCTTGGCAAAACCATATACAATTAACACTTTTCATCAATTGCAATTCTTAGCAGAATACTCAACATAGCTGTAATTCATGAATATCGGATACTACAGGTCATAATTCTCTCTCTCTCCTTGTTTAATATAAGGATAATGACATACTTAATAAAAGAAACAAATAAAACTAAATAGGCCTGTAACACGTATAGCTTACCAACATGGCCAACATTTATTCATTTAGGCACAAGTTCTAGTCATTGTAACATTGTGAAGCTGTATGGCTTTTGTTCACATCCAAAGAACTAATTTTGGTTTATGAGCTCGTAGAAAGGGGAAGTTTGAGAATGGTGTTAAGCAACAAGGATGAGGCAATGGAGTTGGAATGGGAGAAGAGGCTAAATGTTGGAAAAGGAGTGGTCAATGCCTTGTCTTAAATGCATCATGACCATTCACCACCTATCATTCATCGAGACATTTCCAGCAACAATGTTCTTATGGATTTGGACTATGAGGCTCATGTCTCAAATTTTGGCACAGCCAGGCTTTTAAAGCCGACTCTTCCAATTGGACCACACTTGCTGACACTTTTGGATACATAGCTCCAAGTATTTATTAATATCTCCTTTTTTAAGATGCTTTAAACATGTCATCATTCAATTAAAAGTGTTAGTTTTGTGTGCAAATTGATGCGTTAAAACAAAGTTCAAGTAGTATTAAGATTGTAACTTTTCAAATTTAAGTACCAAAGAATTTTACTTTAATTTAAGTATTAAATGTGTAATTAATCTTTGAAGTTTAACACTTAAGATTGTAACTTTTCAAATTTAAGTAGCAAAGAATTTACTCTAATTGAAGTATCAAATGTGTATTTACTCTTTGAAGTTTAACACTTTATTTTTCAATGTTCAATATATCAAACTGCTTAACTAAATATAAAATTTTATTTAAACATCTGAATTTAAATTTTTATATAATCTTCTAAACATTCACAATTTCTTTTCAACATTATTTCATAATCTTCTCATTATTCTTATACAATTGTGTATTTGATTAGATATATTTAATGCTTAATAGAGCACATTGATTAGATATAATTTTTTAAGCAGAGTTGGCTTGTACAATGAAAATAGATGAAAGATGTGATGTTTATAGTTTTGGAGTGCGCACAATGAAAATACTTATGGGGAGGCATTCTGGTAATTTGATTTCATGTTTGCCATCATCATCATTAGCATCGACCTCAACATCGACATAGATACCATATGACAACCAACTGATTTTACTTAAAGATGTGATGGACCAACGTCTCTCACTACTGGTAAGACAAGTTTTAAAGGATGTTGTCTCTATTACAAAGCTAGCATTTGCATGCTTGAATGACAACCTCCAACTTCGGCCAACCATGCGACAAGTTGCTTAAGCCCTTATCCGTCAATCGCTTCCATTGCCCAATCCTTTCTCAATCATAAAATTGGGAGAATTATGGGATCATGAAGTCTACAGTGACTAATATTAAGGTGCTAACAATTTAAATAATAATTCTAAGCATGTGTATTTACTTTCAATCTATATCTTTTTCTCTTCTTTGTATTGAAAATGTTTAAGCACTCTAGTAATAAAGCTTTTGTAGTGAATCGGCTGTGATATAAAATAATTGTATTTAAGCAGTTAATTTGTATATATGTTCAAGATTTGTATGTGATAAAGAGCTTTTTTATTTTCAAATATATGCTATGTAAATGTTGGCATCATAGAAAGAACTATGACATCTATGTTGATTTGGCAGGAAATAAGTTTTTTTTTTTTGCAATTTTCATCCAAAAAAACAGCTTAATGGAACGAAATTATACTTTAAAGATTTAATTAGACAAAAATAATTTTTAAGGACTTAATTGGATATAATAAAAGGATGGAGGCTTATATGAAAAATTCAAAGGCTTATCATCACAAAATATTTTTCATTTTCAATATTTAATAAAGCTGGGGTTTGGCTGTAATTAACTTTAATCTAAATTTTCAATAATAATAATATATAGCCAATAAAATACAAAACAAAATTATTAAAAAAATACAAAACATTTTTCCCAAACTAAAATTATAATTGAATTTAGTCCTACATGTTTTCAAATTAAACATCAATGACTTTTCATAACTTTTTTTCTGTTTTCGTTTTTCTTTATAACATAGTGAACAGTACTCTTGTTTTATTTATTTCGAGAAACGATAGGCTTTGAACAAAATTAATAAAAAAAAAAAAGCTAATTTCACCTTTTTTATTGCAATTTTGTAATTAGCCAATTAAAAAAATTTGGTTAAGAGTCCACCATTTAAAAGTGTGATCTCTACATAATTTTTTTATGAACTCTACACAATACTAAAAAAATTATAAGTATTTTAGAATTACTATGGTAATTTTTAATTATACAAATAATTTTTAAAGTTGTCATATCCATTTAATATTTGAATTATTATTTTATACAGTGTTTCATCGAAACTCATTATATCTATTTAAATAATTAATCAATTTGTTAATTTTTTATAAATATACTCTAATAAGACAAGTGTTAATTTTTTTAAAAAACTTTGTTAATCAATATAGTCGCAGGTATTCTGTCAACCTCAAAGTGCTATTCCAGTTTCAAAACCCAACCTTTGAAATCATGATCATCAAACAGCTTACATGAATTAGAAAACAAGTACCTGGGTTGATCTGAATGTGAAGAACTGTTGAGTACCATTCCACTAGAGGAAGTTTTGTCTGTATCACAATCAGAAACAGGCTCTATTCCCTGCTTCCTCTGTGTTTTGCTAACAGAGACAAAGTCT